CACGTTTACTAGATTTTGCTTCGCAACAAGCAGAAAGTAAGTAATCCGCAAAGAAAATTACAGTTTAAATTCATACAAAATTAATATTTATTTATAGTCGTACATACTAATAATACATATAGAAATTTGATAGTGGAAAGTAAATGTACAAAGGGAAGCTTAACTCTGCATGAGTTTAAATCTGCATGGATAACTCTTCCAAGAAATCCAAGTATGTGATAAACATAGTGATAAAGCTATCGTTTTCTAAAAGGGTTATAAAGATTAATTCAGAATTACACACAGAAGTTGATACAATCAAAATACAGACCAATTTACGACCTATTCCTTTTAAAAATTAATTAGTAGTCATAAAAATTTAAAGAGATTACGATTTAATAATTTGGAAATGATAGTTTAAAGAAACACATCCAAACTTTAGAGACTCCCTTTTTTATAATACAGGCGGCAAATGAGCATACGACTCACCTGATGTTGAGTGCCCATAAGCACCCACAACACTAGAGGAATTGGAGATGTATTTTCGGACTGTTAGACTAGCTTTATACTCCTTGATTATATCTAAAAAGATGACAAACTGAAAAAGAATCAAGTTAACAGTATTTGTAAAGAATGAGCTTGTATGCTTGAGTTAGTTATATTATTAATGTAATATTTATTTCAACAGAACATGATGATGATAATGGGAACAATTGTCTGTCTATTGACCTGACTATAGACAGTCTGCTTATTTTCAATAGTAGCACAAATAAAAAACAGATTAATTGATTAAATGTTTCATTTTATCACCAATTTCATTTGTAATGTGTTTCTGTGAAACCTAATTTCAAGATTTACTACAGGGAGACTTTGTACAAAAGTCCTTTGCCTGAGTACCTTTGTCTCATTCGTGTTTTTACCGTGAAGCAGTTGTGTTTGCTTGGCTGTGTTTCGGTTTGAAGGGCAGGATATGGCAGTGAATTTACAGGGTACAGAGGAATAACACTCAAGTCCTCAGGAATAGCAACGTATGGGGGGTATCAAGAGCGAAACAGTATACTCTGTTATGTCCATGGTATTGCTCATGTCTATAGGCGACGGTTACCACTTTTCATCAGGTGGTTCGTCAGCTAATTTGCCATTTTAAGTTGCATAAAAAAAAACAAAATCTAATAACTTTCTTATTACGTTATATTGAAATAGAACATATTGCCTGTAGTTGCGATCTGTATAATTTGGTGCATTTGGCATTAGATTCTGTCTGTTTACCCCAATGCAGACATGTATGATATATACCTACGTTCGTGAAATGTTAGTGTTCGTAAGAACTAAGAACGTTTATAAATATTCTAAGACCTAGATACAAGTGTAATACTTGTTCTAGTTCAATATAATTCTTTAGGATTCACGTCAAAAATCTAAGTTTAAAATAGACATCGTAAAAAATCGTCTACACTAGAATGTAGCTGAAATAAATTGATTGCAAATCACAAGGCCAAACAAGTCTCTCATTCGTTTTGATTAGGTACACATGGCTATTGATTATTCAGGAATATAATTAAGCTATTAGTTGATTACTTCCAAAGTATATTTATATTTATTCACTTGTTAAACTAAAGTTTCATCCCAATCATCTGGACGAGTGGCGGTCTTCCATCGTGCGTTTTTCGAGGCACTTTCTTCCACGCACAACCATTCTTTGGAATCAACTTCCAGCAGCAGTATTTCCGAACCGATACGACAACATAACCTTCAAGAAAAGAGTATATTCTTTTTTAAAAGGCCGGCAGCACACCTGCAATGCCGCTGGTGTTGTGGGTGATCATGGGCGGTGGTAGTCACTTACCATCAGGTGAGCCGCATGCTCGTTTGCCCCCTGTGTTGTAAAAAAAAACTTGTACATTAATGTTGTTACATCATTATTTGTTCTTAAAATATCATCAAAGCCTAACTGTAGTTGCCAACCCGCCTGTGAAACGTGGCAATTACTGGCAAAACTCCCTTTATGGGCGAAACCGATGTTCAGCAATGGGCAGTTAACGGCTGATATAATGATTATGATGTACTTAAGTGTATCTAACGCATTTTGTTACCGAAAATGAATCAATGGATGTTTTGTGAAACAATTTTTTTTTTAGATATGAGATATATAGATAGATACTGTTTAATGTTTCCTCCATAAGATTACAATAGTAAACTTATTATAAATACAAACAATAAAAAAATACACTAAGAAAACAATGGGCGACCTTATTTCCAAGAGCGATCTCTTCCAGGCAACCTTTGGATGGAGAAGAATAATAAATAGTTTGACTGGAGGAACGAAACTCTGTTCGTTTTTTAAATACATATAAAGATATGTATATGTACAATAATGTGAATATATAAATGAATATTTTAAGTATATGAGCTTATTGTTTTTGTGAATCAGTAACCTTCAAGAAAAGAGCATATTCTTTTTTAAAAGGCCGGCAGTACATTTGCAATGTCTGTGGTGTTACGGGCGTTCATAGATAGAGGTAGTCACTTACCATCATGCTCATTTGCCACCTGTCCTATAAAAAAAGCAATGATTATAATTTCAAAATTTCATTAAGTAGTACTATAATAATCGTCAAAATACCATATATAATAAAATTGTACTAGGTAATGTTTGTACTTAGCAATTATTAAGGACAAATTGATATGAGAAGTCGTAAGATCAAAATAAGCTAAAACATCTGTCTGTATGTTGTTCTTACATACAAATTGGGTGCATATTTCAAAGATATGTTCTGGTCTATGTTTTACGCCATCTAGAAGTATATTATTGTTTCAATATCCACGCGTTTGAATTATATGATATGGATAGCTAATTTTTTAAGTGATAAAAAAGGCGAGTTTTTTGAAAATATGTGCTATTTTTTTATTATCTGATACTGATTTGTAGTTTGTATTCATACAAATTTATATATATATATATATATATATATATATATATATATATATATATATATATTAATCTTATTTTCATTTAAGTCTGTCGGTGCAACTAATTCATACATCTTCTTCCAGCCAGTTCTAGGCCATATCCTTGCCCTCTCTATACGACATGACATCTAGTGTTTCTTTTATCTGTCCCATGTAGTTATTCCTGGGTCTTCTTCTTCCTCTTTTTCCCTATATTTTTCCTTCTACTATGCTCTTAAAAAAATCGTCATGTCGTATAAAGTATATTTTAAAATATAATAAAGTGGAAGAGCTTGTTTTTTGTTTGTTTGAATACGTTAATCTCTGAAATTACCAATCTGATTTAAAAATTATTTTTACATTTGATAGGACGTTACATTATAAGCTATTCTACGATACGAATCGAGCGAAACTGGGAGACATGGCTTGTTCATTTCTTGAGAAACATTAGCGGCTATTCAACGTTACGATACGACAACAGGGAAAGTCTATATAGAAACTAATTTATATATTCAAATTTTTGAAAAAGAGCAACAGCTAAGTTTCTTGCTTATTCTTTTCAGTTGAAATTGCATGCTGAAGAGGCAGTTTTTATCGCCCCTTCGGCATAAATTTTATATCATTGTTCATAAATAAATGGTTATTCGATAATATTCTATTTGTGTTTACTTCTTTCTATCTGCACCAGATGTATTCTATAATTATTATTTCTAAATATGTTTTAATAATATTAAAATAATAAAAATAGCCTAAACATAAAAATAATTAATGACTCATTTGATACAGTATCAGAAACAACAGGATGTACTGTGGGTGTAGTTATCTGGAGGATTTGTTTCAGTATATTTGGATATTGTCCTCTATTCCGTCTCATATTTGTATAAAACCTTGAACAATTTTAGTTTTAATTATTCTTCTTTAAACGTTTATATATTTATCTGAGTATGTAGATATAAATATATCTCTATATATGTATAAGAAACATTGTCGACGTCTGTCTCTGTGCTTAAATCTTCTAAAGCTCGTAACATTTTTAGACGAGCTATATATATATATATATATATATATATATATATCCCGTAACTAACTCCCAGCCGAGTTTCTACATCTTTCCCGAGAGTAAGTTGCCTCGGAATACTAACCATTTGAGGTGTTGACCGTTCACTGACAGCACGATTGAGATGATTTTGGTGGATGTAACCCCCCATATTTCGGTCATCTCGTGCACAAGTCGAGACATTTGCTCTTTTTCTCGGTTTCGGCTTTCGCGAGGTCCTCGTCATGTGGTATGGTGACATCCACCAAAAAACTCTCGAGAGTGCCTGATCCTGGTATTGTGGTAACAATACCAGGTTTGCTCGCAGGAATTGCCATGTCCGTGATAATGGATCAGTACCAGAGGAGAAAGTTACAGCATTATCACTTTCTAGGATCGGCTATTCCACATTCTCTTTTCCGACATAACATCACGAGGATGCATCAGTGACTACATCTCTACACTACAAATAAGTATGTAAACTTTTACATGAACCGTACCGTTAAATGTGGAATGGCCTTTCCCATGACGTGTTTCATACTTCTCACAACCTCGACTCCTTCAAACGTATCATAAAAAGCATTTACTGAGCCGACACAGTGTGGCCAATTGTTGAGAGTTGAACATTCTCTTTTTGGTTGATCACATTCATGGACCATATTGTCTCTGTGTTAGTTCAGGATGAAATGAACACATGTCGTGCTAAAAAATCTAATAAAATAAAAAAGTCTTTGTTTCTATTTTTAAAATCTCTTCTCCTATAACCTGTTCTAAGAACCCGCAACCGTAACCGCACAAGTGAGTCGTGACGTGACGTACTGCAACGTCTAGATATTTTCTGAGAAACAGAAGTCATGTCTCGTTTTTTACAACGCTGTATGCAGGCTACAGGAAATGAGACAAAAAGTTTCGATTACCTATATCACTCTCTCATAATAAAAAAATATATTTATTTATAACTCTAAATATGTTATAGTTAGTGCCATCTATATTTTTTAATACTAATATTATAAATAGGAAATATTTGATAGTTTCTAATGGTTAAACTCAAGAATAAGTCTATTGATTTTAAAATTCATACATCTATAGAGAGTTACATTATCAGAGAGTAACGTAGGCTATACATTATTTTTGATAATTCTATTTTTAAAATTTAAAACTTGAACCGGATCACTAGTGTATAATACACACATAAATCTTGTCCAACCAATTTATAATTTCTTTCCAATTTCTCTCACGACTTACTGAATGTAATCCCACTTCAGAGGTCTTGTACTATAACAATTATCAAATTTAAAATTTATTTATTTTCTAATTAACTTGTACAGACATAAAAATAATCGTCACCGTATATTGCTAGCGCAGGCGGAGTTACCATTTTATTATCCTCCATTAAAAAAAATACCGAAAGTCAGGATAATAATTATATAATTCCTTACATAATAACAATTATAAATTAATAATAAAACTAGAAAAAACTTTCACTAGTAATTGGAAGCGTGTGTTTGTTCATACAGAATCGACGTTCTCATAATAGATATTAGTGGATTACACGAGGATGTTTCCGAAACCATTAATACATCGTCACGGCGAATATGCTTTATTTTTACGACTCTATATCAATTGAGTGTTGGCCATATCTGTCGAACATTCAGACGAAGTAATATTAACACATTGGTTTATATCAGGTGTCTATAAAAAATACGATCCATATTTATGAACGTAGTCGTTGAGAGTAGATTGGTCTTAAATTGTTAAAAATAGGTCAAAATTTAATCAATTAAATTAACAGTTAGCTGAATAAATTTTGACAAATATGTATTTTTTTAAACAAAACATAGCGCTTTGTTATTTAAGTGTTACAAGTAATTAGATTAAAAATTTCCCGGATCAAGTCGAGTTTAAATATATATATATATATATATATATATATATATATATATATATATATATATATATATATATATATATATATATATATATATATATATATATATATTAAAATGGAAGCCATTTTCAATTATTTAAAAATGAAAACATATTTTGAGCATTTATTGAGTTCATTTACGGTAAAATAATAAATTCAGTTATTTCATAGACATGATAGTGTTATAAGGCAGTACACATGTCACAAAACATTTTATACGCAGATTAAGAAAGCGCCTTGTTCATGAATGTTATCATCTGAAATGAAATTAGTGGGCGTAAAAGTCACGAAAAACTCGACTGTAAGACAGCTTTTGGTACTGTTGCCATATTTATTTCAAACTATCCTCACCTATATATCTAGGATTTAATATCTAATATTGTAAATTTGAAAGTGAATTTATTTAATTGTTTGTTACTTTATAGCGTCTTAACGGTCTAACAGATTACTATAAAATTTGTTATACACATTATAGGTTGTGTTAAATTTGGTATTCACACTATTGGTGGTGTTTGGTGCACTCTTAGGGTGTACTATATGGGATGGAGAAGGATATAGGCTACTTTTCTATCCCGGTCAGTAAACATATCTTGGTCGCGGGTAAACGCTAGTTGCGTATATAAATATGATAACAATTTTATAATTATAAAACTTGATCAAATTCTTATAATTAAATCTTATTACACCAAAGAAAGTGATTTACACCAGATAAATGTTACTGGCTTTAGATAAAGAATTTAATGATAAATGTACGTATGTAAATAGGTGTATTAACTTTTTAAATTTGATTTATTTTTAATACTATAACTCTGTAACTCGAAATAACAATTAAATGAGAAGTATTATGCAGATATACTTATTTATCTAAATCTCTTAACAGATATTAAAATCATTAAGTTTCTAATGTAAGTAGTATATTCATTTATTTTAACATTTATTATATAAGTAGGTAAGATATTATATGTATTTATAGTGTATGTATTTATGTATAATTTTATTATATATTTTAATATTTTATTTAACTGTATATTTGTTTATGTATTAATAGTTGTAGCACTTCAGCTGCCCGCTAACGAAATGCTTTCTTACTGTACCGGGTTGACTGGAAGAGATCTCTGTCAGATATAAGTCCACCCTTGCTCACAACATTTATAAATACATTATTTTTTATATAACTTACAAGTACAATAAAGTATATATATACATTTTTACAATTTCCAAGATGTGAACAGGGAACTGTCGCCTGTAGACAGAATAACACTGGATGTAGACACAGTAACGGCCATAGTACACATACGATGCAATTCTCGAGGATTTTTGGCAAAGCAGTATTACATTCTAAACGCGCAAATATTGAAAATATTTTATCTTGTAGTCTTATTAAAATAGCGCATCGTATAATGTTTTAAAAATAACAACCTAACGAGAGTAATAAACCGAGAGTTCTGTGTAGGTAGCCACTAAGAGTCTGATACTGCCCTTCACCCACATAATAAATAATGTATTGTTTCAACTTATACGAAAATATTTTCCTTGTCTGTTTCATCGGTTTAAAATACTTTATTAATCATTAAATACCTGTAAACATTTGCTAAAGATTCAGCATATTAAATTAATGTAATTAGCAATTAGGTAAATAAACAGGATAAATACTTAACTAAATTTAACTAGGTAACTCTGTAAAAAAATTAAGATTTTTTTTATTATTCAAATAGAATAATTACATTACCACGTAAGTAATCAATCTCTAATTTGACTTTTATTGTTTAATGTAATTTATTAAAAATATAAGTTTATTAAAAAATTTATAAAAATAATTTGTATTATTATTGATAATTTCGTATCTATAAAATCATTTTAAATTTTATAATAATAATTAACATGGTTTGCTGAATGTAGTGCCATCTACCAACAGACGGTAAAAACATCAAGTTGAAATTGTTTTCAACTAAGTTTGATAGATGGCGTAATCAGTTTCAATTTGCAGCTCAATTGTCACCGCATGTTTGACTGTGGGATTGTTGCTCTTTATCCTATTGCGACAAATCTATTATTTTTTTAAAGCCAAAATTTTTAATACGCGATAATGGAACGGTAACTCTGCCTGCGATAACGATATACACTGGCGGGGCATCAGTGAGAGATATCATCTGAAGATGAAAGAAAGTTAGTTAATCCATCGTGACGAACTCCACAACAATCAACCACGGGGGGGGAAAGGGATTGTTAGTAATGGAGACTGAGAATTCCATTGCTAGCAATATACCCAACCAGGTCGACCTCCTCGCGGTTCTCCCTGGAAACTATCATGGTTAATTCCTGATGAATTCATCATGATGGGCTAACTGGCCTGTTTTCATTCTCATCTATCACCCTTCACTGGTGCTCCGTCAGCGTATCCCGTTAGCGCAGGCGGGGTTACCATACCATTTTCACCCATAAAAAAAAAAAAAAAAAAAAAAAAACAATCAACCACGATAGTTTCTTGGAAGAACCGCATGGAGATTGACCTCATAGGGTATATTGCAAGCAATTGGGCTGTTACAGTCTAAGATTCTCTTTCTTCTGAGTGAGATGGGGGGGGGGGGGGAATTGATTCAAGTATTTTCAATATCCTCTACTATTGCCTCATCATTATATACCTACCAATAACAGAGGCATCATTATATCTTCAGATATAAAAAAATATATATATTCAATAAATTATTCTAAATAAAAAGTATATCTAATGTCAAAGCGTAAAGCTTTCCAGTGCTTGATAGCCTAAATGACAAAACAATGAGAGGAAAAGCCAGTGTAGTGGACAGGAACATGTAGCAGGAAATTTCTAGAAGATCAAAACCAACGGTTACTAACGTCTCTGTAAAATTTAAATTTAGATTTAAGGTATTCAGGAGAGTTTGGATCGTATAAAATAGAATAGAGGGTACAGAGTAGGTACAGAATAGATGAACATTTCACCGTTGTCTGATGGGAAACCATTTAAGTTGAGAACGGTAGAATGAGATATCATAATAGTTTTGTTATATTATCGAACTTAAATTATAATTTTAGAGAAAAGTTTAAGGAATGCTACCTCCATTTATGGTAATATTTCTTGTTATTGACAAGACAGTCATGCATGATGAATTTCGACGGGCGACTAATTGTTGACTTTTGTAATTAGAATAATTCTGGACCTGTAGTATATATATATATATATATATATATATATATATATATATATATATATATATATATATATATATATATATATATATATATATACATGAGTGTAAAAAGTATTCGTACACCTAGGGTTATAATAAAAAAAATATATATGATAGACTTTCCTCTATTTATTTAATTTAAATCAATACTGTTAAATAGTTTAACATTCCCGCACTTTGTTTATGATAATTTTTGTTTTTAAAAAAAAAAATTATACAACTTAAAAATATTTTTACGTTAACTAAGCAAATAATGACAAACAAAAAGTATTCGTACATTCATTCTTTTTTAAATGAAATTCTGTATAAATCATTTATTCAATCGAATTTTTCATATGCCTACAATGCCAAGGTCATTTTTAATACGTAGGTATAGATATTAGACGTTTTAGTTGCACTCGTGACAAGTATAGACGTGTTTAGTTACAAAAATGGGTCGTAAAGCAAAAGAAACGAGTAAAGAGGAGAGAAAATAATTATTAATTTGCATAATCAATGCAAATCATTATGTGAAATTGCAAAATTTGTCAATAGACCACGTTCAACCGTACAGACTTTAATTGATCGGTTTTCTATTACTAAAACACTAAAAAACAAACCCAGAGGTGGGGCGTCCATCAAAAATCACGCCTCGATTGGATCGGAAAATTTTAAATTGTGTAAAAAAAATCCAAAAATTAGTGCCCCTCGAGTGTTACAAGAAATTAATAATATCAATGATTGCCATATTTCTGTCAGTACCGTTCGGAACGTATTACGTAGTAACGATTATCATGGAAGAACTGCGCGTAAAAAGTATTGGGTAAATGATATTAATAGAAAAAAAAAGATTAGAATTCGCAAAAAAATATATTAATGAAAAAAATCATTTTTGGCAAACTGTTATTTATTAGATGAATCGAAATATAATATTTTCAAATCGGATGGACATCATATGGTATATAAAATAATATGGAATATAAGAAAGAAAATTTATGTCCAACGGTAAAACACGGTGGTGGGTCAGTATTTGTATGGGGTTGCATGAGTGCTTTTGGGGTGGGAAAACTTGCATTTATTGATGGAATTAGGGATCACAAAACGTATATTAATATTTTAAAAGAGAATCTTCTCTTTAGTGCAGCTCAAATGGGTTTTAACAATAATTGGATATTTTTACAAGATAATGACCCTAAACATAAAGCATGTAATACTAAAGCATGGATCCTGTTCAACGCTCCAAAATACCTAGAGATTCCTCCTCAATCACCTGATATTAATATTATAGAGCATGTGTGGGATTATCTCGATAATAAAATTCGAAATCGACCAATTTCGAGTAAAGAAACACTAAAAATTGCGCTTCGCGAAGAATGGGCATTGATACCGTCTTCTTATATTTTCAAACTAGTTGATTCGATGCCGCAGAGACTCCAAGCTATCATCAATGCTAACGGTGGTCCAACAAAGTATTAATATTTTTTTAATATTCATTTACTTACAAATTTTATAAGTGTACGAATACTTTTTGTTTGTCATTATTTGCTTAGTTAACGTAAAAATATTTTTATGTTGTATAATTTTTTTTTAAAAAACAAAAAATAACATAAACAAAGTGCGGGAATGTTAAACTATTTAACAGTATTGATTTAAATTAAATAAATAGAGGAAAGCTCTATCAAATTCGTATTTTTTTTATTATAACCCTAGGTGTACGAATACTTTCTACACTCACTGTATATATATATATATATATATATATATATATATATATATATATATATATATATATATATATATATATATATATATATATATATATTTATATAATTAATAATGAATTACGTAGCGTCATTTCTCCAAACCTCACTGCAAAATCTTAATTATAAGGACCAATATGAACATTTTTCTAATAGATTTACGTCACAATTATTATAATTTTAGTTAATGATGATCCATAAAACAGTAATTATTTAAAATATGAAATTAAAATATTAAGAGATAGCTTTAGGGAAATGGTATCTCAGAATTGGCCCCAGTATTTACATATTTAGTATTTTTCCTTTCACGGTCAATATTGACGCATGGAATGCTGTTACATTTGTTGGAATTTTTTTGCACCTATCAGCTTATCTATGCTTTCCTCAAATATTATCTAATATTTAAGTGTTTGTAACCATTTTGTGTTAATTGATCTCGCTTGTTATCGTTTCCGGTAGGCTTTCAAGCAACTACTGATTTTTCTGAGTAACGTTGGATTTTAGGAATCTATGAAGGTCAAATCTTAATTCAAATCTTTTTATACGTAGGTATATATATTATTGTATTGTATTGTAGTAAGTTAATATTGTAGTTACAATATCTACCTTTTATTATTTGCATATGGGGTCAGCTAAGTCGGTTCACATCGACTCATTGGGATCTTTTTTCTTTCCCCTGCCTTATACTATCACTTTATAGATCCTATATGTTACCTTAATGATATCTCGCGGTTTAAGATGTCTCTAGTCCCCTGGCTCTGGATAATCCGTTCTTAGTAGACTCATACGTATACGTAGCGAATGACAGTTGCACATCTGGTGTTCTATGGGTTCCAAATTCTTACTGCATAATTTGCACAGCGTGCCCGAAGATGGACTCATCTTGTTTAGTTATATCTTACTGGTATGTATTCAGTTAAGGCAATCATTATGAGTCTTGCTTGTTGTCTGCCTCCTTTGTAGTTTATCTCATCCCTCAGCCTTGTCATACAATATCCTATATATTGGCCCAATAATGGTTATATTAAAAATTGGTTATACTATATATTTAGATGTGGGTCACCCTTATCATTGAAAGATATAGAAAAATAGATGTTGGCTGATTCTTAGACCTACCCAGTATGCACACAAAGTTTCATAAAAATCAGTAAAGCCGTTTCAAAGGAGTTTGGTACAAACACCGCGACACGAAAATTTTATATATTAGATATAGTATATACATTTCGCATTTCAAATATATTCTATAGTCATACATAACACACACAAACAGAGGTAAAGGGATTATTAGTAATGAGGCTCTATGGGCCAACTGACCTGTTTCATTCTAACATGTCATTTCTCACTGGTGCATCGCTAACATATACCGATAGCGTAGACGGGGTTATCATTCCATTATCACCCACTGTAAAAAAATACACGCAAACATTGCACAGGAATCGAACTTGTAACCTTTAAAAGGTAGGCCAAGGTCCGTGAACCACTATTAAAAACGCAATGAAGGTAAAACAGTATATTTAATATTTTTAGAAATGTATTTTATGAGTACACTAGCGTCCGATTCGACTTTGCACGAGTGCAATGTAGAAACAATATGGTGTCAGCGGGGAGTGATTAATAATATTACTATTGTATTCGTTTAAAGAGCTTTCGAAACTCCACATTATTTGTACATTACTTTTTAAACATTTATATGGTTAAAGAAAGCTATCTGTATGATATACCGATATTTTTTTAATTAAATAATTCATAATTTAATAAGAATGCCAGCTGACTTTTTTGTAAGCCTAAAAAAGAGCAACCATCATACATTATTTTGATATATTTCAATATTTTCAGAGAAAGATGGCGTGAAGATATGATCTACATCTTCCTATCTTTATCCCAATTATTATTTGGGGTCGGTGTAATATGGTTTTATCCATATTACAAAAAGATTTGGCTTATAGTTTTACAACCGACCGCCTGCCTGAAGTCAACACTTTTTGGGAATGCATTTGTTACTGGTTTCCGCCACCTACAGTATGGGGGAAAGGATTTAGGAAAAAAGGAAGGGAACGTTGAAAATGCGTAAAGGAAATTGTTAATTAAGAGGAATAAGGGACTTATGTGGGAAAGCAAATGCAGTTGCGAAAAGGATTGGGACACTGCAGCGGCTCGGGAGGCCGGGTCGTATATCCGTATGCCCTTATTCTAGAATCGGACAGATTTCTAGAGAAGGACACCCTTGACGCTATATGATAAATATAGGTACTATTCTTTATAAATGTAACTACATATTTTAAACAATTTACCTAAAATTAAATCAAAAGATTTTTTTAAATTCATTTTAGTACTAAACCACCATGAGTATGGCGATAAATAGCTACCGTAAGGCGACACTTTCATAAAAAAGATCAAGCGTTTGAAATCGTAGCATATTCGTGTTTCTACCGTGAAGCAGTTGTGTTTATATGGCTGTGTTTCAGTTTGAAGGGTGGGATATGGCGTGAATTTACAGGGTACGGAGGAATAACATCTGAGTCCTCAGGAATGGCAACGCATGGGGGGTATCACGGGCGAAACAGTATACTCTGTTATGTCCATGGTATTGCTCATGTCTATAGGCGACGGCTACCACTTTCCATCAGGTGGGCCGTCAGCTTGTTTGCCATTCTAAGTTGTATAAAAAAATATCTTAACAAAATAATAAAATTGTAACTCAATAATGATATGGAAGATACTTAAGAAAAAATTATATTATAATAAAACAATATATAGTTTTTTTTTTGTCTGTTTATCTGAATGTATGTTTGTTTCGGCATAAATTACTACACCAAATAGTTTTTAAAGTTAGATAGATAGTCTTTATTACCAACAATAATAATAATAGTTAAAAAATAATAATTAAAAAGAAAAGAAAAAACAATACATTTTAGTTGTATTCCCGAAGGTCCTATTTAAAATTTGGTATTATATTTTAACTTGATACGCCGTCAGATCTATTTAGTTGGTTTTCTTTTTTTGAAATACACGCGTGCAAAGCAGTGGGCAAAAAAGTAGTTATTAATATAATTCCTACCAAACATAATAAAGTGTTTCCTATACCTATGGCACCCTAAAACATTGGATGGACCGAGCATTTATTTGCTAACTACGAATGCAATTTTATACGGTTTTTCCTATTCATAAGTAAATATCCTATTTAGTATTATAAACATTGTATTCAGTGAAATAATATCACCCCTATTATATTTCTCGACAATTGTTTTAATTGATAGTTTTAATATTTCCTTCTCACGTACGTGCCTGCATTCATTATAGTTGCAAAGTAACTATACGAGAGTACATTTATTGTTTTTAATGCAGATTGTGTAAACTCAGAGTTATTAATGGATGTTTGGAGGCGGCTCAGAGCCTAGAAAATATTGACGTTTAGCCACTAATGCCAAGTATTAAAAAGAGTATTTGTTGGCGACAGACCTCTTTTTATATAAATTTACCTTTTTTACATTTATATTTTTATATTTTGAATATGTCTTTTGATACCTATTTTGTTTTTTAACTTGATTGACATATATTGAAACTTATATAAAAGGAGGTCTGTCGCCAACAGTATTATTAGTAAAGGGGTCTCTTAATGCTATTGGTAGTAATATACCCTATCAGGTCGACCTCTACGTGGTTCTCCCTGGATACTACCGTGGTTAATTCTTGATTTCGTCACGATGGGCTAATTTACCTGCTGTCATCTTCACTAGTGACCCGTCAACGTAGACCGGTACACATGTAGCAATGGGGCCTTTCCAACGCATAATAATTGGCAACGCACGCATAATAGTTCTGATATTGCAGGCGTTCATACTGTTCGAGAACAGCTTACCATCAGGTGGGCCGTATGCATGTTCGCCACCTCAGTGTTATAAAAAAAAAGTCAGTCGCAGCTGCGTGGAATCGGTGCAAGTCCTAACACTCGAGCAATCCGAATACATAATGAGTCACTGTCGCCCTACACTGACCGGTCGCCCGTCATACTTCTTACGATCTACCTGTTGAATCAAATGTGACTTTCGGCTGGTCTCCATTCTACACATAGTAACATCGCGGATCCCAAACGCGACAGACGTCTTTGTGTCATGAAACCACGTGTTTCGTATCTCGCCACAGTAAACAAAACCGCGAGTGGTAATAATTCATAGTGATCCTCAAAAGAACCGAGGTTAATTTCATGAACATAAAATATTTGTTTTATTAATGAGATCTTGTTTCTTTAGCCGTTGTGTTTCCGTATGTTCTTTTTTTTGTAATTAATACAAAAAAGTCAATCTGATTGTGTATGTATTGGTATTTATAACTTGTTTCAGTTATATATATATATATATATATATATATATATATATATATATATATATATATATATATATATATATATATATATATATATATATATAATATATATATTGAAATATACACTCAAGTAAATTCCAGGTTTACTACATTCAAGGACCTTAAAAATAAAAAAAATAAAGAAGTTACTGTCCACTAAATACGTTTTAAAAGTGAGGTTAAATTAGTAACATAATCAACTTGTAATTTAACATAAATTGCGGACTACATCATTGCCTATATAATTATGTTTCTACCTATTACATGTGATTGGAATAGGTTTTTTTTTTTCTGTGTACAAAGAACAATTTTTATTTTTTAATTTGAGATCATTTTATCAATTTAATTGATATCAAAAAAAAATTTTATATTTATTTAATGCTTGTAAAGTAACTACACGTGCAGTAATATAAATAACTAGCAGCTACTTTATATAAATGAAGTCCTTGATTCGATTCCCAATTGAGCCAATTTAGAATATGATTGATTTGATGATTTAATCAATTCGGACAATTCTTTATTGGGCTCCACTCCCAGAAATCCATAGTCTTGTTTCTGGCTGTCTTAATTTGAGGACGAGGTAATTTGTATCATTGTTTATTTTTATGCCACTAGGATGATAAAAGTATAAGGCCAGCCTGATGGTAAGTGGTTCCGGTAGTGTATGGATATCTGTAATAAATAGTAGATGTATTACGTATACATAGCTGACACTTTTACTTCTTTTTAAAGAATCCCATACTGTACGAGTAGTCTTGGGAAAACTTCAGGAGCTCGTTCCTAAACTGTTATTTCTTAGTATCCTCGGAAAGAAGTAAGGATTTCTGGCGATTATCTAAATTTAATATTTATTTCTAGCTGTTTTTCGTGCCCTTTTTGTAAATCAATATATAAAGTATACTATATATTAAAACACGAGGTAACCTACCCGTGCACCAAATTTCATTCAAATCCGTTCAGTCGTTTAAGCGTGATTAAATAAAAAACATACAAACATTAACATTATGTATATTTACATTTATAATATTACTAATATTAAATTATGTATTATTTTATTATAATATTTCTTCAAATATTTATTCAAATATAGGAATAAAGCTTTGCTTCAGTAGTAATAACACATCGACCGACTTGGTTTGTTATCATTCCGCTGCATGACACAGGTTCTTTCCCCATAAGTATCCTCTTATGGGGAAAAAGAACATCTGGTCCCAACCTACAACTACCGTACAGCCAGGAACCTACTTACTTATGTTTTATATAAAGTTTTCCCGTTCATCCACTGAGTAATAGTGGTTAATTACTCTAGTCGTTTGTTGTGATATAGTAGGTATGAAAATGTGTGGTGATTGGTGACAGATTGTATAGGTAGTTACTGACTGCAAGGAGAAATAATTAAAAAAAAGCACTGGGCATTAATGTATCATTTTCATTAATATGGAGGTGAAATATTCCATAATAAGCCATATCTTTCCAAGGTACTAAATTGTTTTTTTTTTATGCTACCCAAAGGTCGTCTAGAAGAGATTGTTTAGCGATAGTCTTCACATTATAATTGTGCAATAATATAAATAAATAAAATAAATAAATTCTAGAATATTAAAAAAATATATATATGACAGACCTCACGTAGAGTAGAAAAAATGAATTTTATAATTTCAAATTTCACAGAAGCTGAATTTGAGGTAACTTAAATGCGGCTTTGTTTTAACCTCTGGTTATTATATTAAAAATACAATAACAACACGGAATTAAAATAGAAATGAAATAAATAAATAATAATAAGTGAATAATTTAATAAAATATTATAGTGATTATTTCTTACATAAAAGGTTTGAAAACACTAATGAAAATTAATTTCAAATTTTCAATAAAAAAATTATGTCTTTGTGATTTGAATACTATAATTATTTAAATACTATAATTATTTGAATTGTGCTTTCAAAAATATAAAATATACATATAAAATATACAACAAAATAATAAAAGAAGAAAAAGATATTTTTTTTCTACTCGTTACATACATTCATGGTCTGTTTTTATCGCTAAATATTATTCTATTAAGGATATAACATGCGTCAGTATCAAAAATTGAATAAATAAATTAAAAGATATTAAATATATTATACTAATAATGCACTCAAATCGCAAAACGCAAATAATTATTTTTTGGAAAAATATAAATATTTTTGGAAATAACAATAAATTTATATACAATTTAGTAAGATCAATTGTCACGATGCCTCCTACAAGTATTCCCAACGCGCCATAAATGGGACGTTGACAAAAACATTAAAAATTTTATATAAAACAGTACATTTGTGAATTTCAGGTTTTTAACCTAAAAGTAACACTAACATTTCTCAGACGTTATAATTTTTTCTCAGACTTTATAATTTTCAAAATGCGTAAATTTTAACAAATTGTCACTCAATAAGCACAATTAACAAAACTTCTTCAGTCATCATTTAATTAATCAGAAAGATGTCATAGTTTACTATGAATTTAAATCTACCCTCACTGCTTCAATAAAAAGCAGGGAAATTAAAATTGAGATACACCTTAAATGAAACATTGGGAAGATATGGGTAAATAGTCCACGAAATCATTAATAATAAAATAGATATAATTAAAATTTTTGTCCTACCTAACAATGGAGTCTAGTTAAAATAATATGGGACCAACATGGGAGTAAATTCCATCAACTGTTACTTGCTGTTTGTAAATCAATGCTCACTTTTTATCCAACTTAAAAAAGAAAGAGGTTTTATATTTAGTTGTATTTCTTTTTGTTTGTTACCTCATAACTCCGTCAGTTGTAAACCGATTTAGAAAATTATTGAAGGTTGATCCCATCAAAATATTATCAAAATTTGTTAGTAGTTTAGTTTGGGAACCAAAATAACTGATTTCGCCATAATTGATGATGGTTTCTTCTGAAGATAATCTTCAGTTATTTACTATTACAGTAATTACATTTAAGGCAAATGTGAATAAGTTATTCGTGGAACCGTGAGCTACATCTTAGACCACATCATCGCATCAGGTGAGATTGTGATGAATCGCGAAATACTTTAATAGTAAAAAAAAAAATATTTATTGAAAAAAGAATTATTAAAATCGGTTTAGAATTGACAGAATCCAATATATAAGTACACATAACATAATACAATTAAATAGGTTGAAAATTTATAGATAAAGTCTAAAAGAGCTGTTTATGCAAGCTGCAATTGTTCGAAATATGCATAATTCTAAAGTTCTTAACAGGTAGGTTATAAATTATATACAGTGTATATTTATAATTTAATTACTTTATTATAAGCATGTCTCATTGTTTTTCACTGTGAGGAATTGTGAAGAAAATAAATAAATCTATTATTATTAGTCTTAGATATGTTGGAACCATTTATGAATATCACATTAAATAAATAGAGTTCCTGCTAGTTCTTAATTGAATGCATAAGTAATTGCATAGCTTCGTCACGAACACTGTAGATACAAGACAATCATTATCAGGTAGATATACATGAATTAATGATTACGAGTATATACAGCTTATAATAAATATCTCTTATATCAAAAGCATCAACGTAATTTTATAATAATATAATAAAGTGGATATTTATTTACATATTCAATTTTATTTATATATTTATTTACATATTCAATATTGGAAATATAATTAAATAATAAACCCGGTTTGACAATCAGCTGATGTCCAATAGTAGTTTTTTTAAATGAATGAACATTGTCATCACCATTATCATCAACATTATTATCATTACAGAAATAGTAATTGTTCATTTTATTTTATTTTTTTATACAATTTAGAATGGCAAACAAGCTGACGGCCCACCTGATGGTAAGTGGTAACCGTCGCCTATAGACATGAGCAGTACCATGGACATAACAGAATATACTGTTTCGCCCATGATACTCCCCATGTGTAGCCATTCCTGAGGATTCAGGTGTTATTCCTCTGTATCCAGTAAATTCACGCCATACCCCACCCTTCAAACCGAAACACAGCCATGCAAACACAACTGCTTCACGGTTGAAATAAGAATGGGACAGAGAGGTACCCAAGCAATCGACTTTTGTACAAAGTCTCTCTACTGGTTCATTAATGGATGATAGTGGAATGGTAAATCCGTCTGCGCTAACCGTATACACCGGTGGAGCATCCGTGAGTGATGATAGGTGAGAATGAAATGCCAGGTCAATTAGCCTATCGTGATGAATACACGTGGAATTCAGCACGATGGTTTCTAGGCAGGACCACGTTGAGATCGACCTGACAAGGTATATTGCTAGCAATGGGACTGATAGTTCGAATTACTAACATTCCCTTCCTCCCCCTGCCCAATAGTAGTAGGTATGTGTTCAAACCAAAATTCTAATAATTGATTTAACATTTCGATTTCTTACTAATTTCACTTTGATAGTGTTCCTGTGATAATTTCAACAAGGCTTTCTTATCTTTTCATTGAAAACTCCTATATTCACGTAATCTGTATGATATCATCACAATCATATCCCATTCTTTAAATACATAATCGGAACTTAACACCATGTAAAAGCCTTGACAGGTAAATAGTACCTACATACCTGTTTCTTTATTGCCGACGTTTAATATGTGAAAACAACGCGAAAGTTTAAAATTAACATATTCCATTCATTCAAAGTGATGAATTTGGCTATAAATTCATAAAGTTTTGCATCAAAGCCAATGTTGTTTATTTATTTAATCAACTGGGTGAGCTTTACAGTCTTAGAATACATTTAACCAAAAAAACATCAGCACAATAACATATACTTTATAACTTCAATTAAAAGAAATAATATCAATAAGATTAAAATATCATAACATTATGAAGGGAAGGGATTGTTAGTAATGCAGATTACCTGCCTCTTTGCTAGCAATATACCTTGTCAGGTCGACCTTCACGTAGTCTCCACTGGAAATCATCGTGCTGAATTCCAGGCGTATTAATCACGATAGGCTAACTGACCTGCCATTTCATTCTCACCTATCATCAATCATAGATGCCTCACCAGCGTATACAATTGGTGCGAGCAGGGTTTTTTTTTAATGGGTGATAATGGAATGGTAACCCCACCCGCGCTATCGGTATACACCAGCGGGGCACCAGTGAAGGATGATAGGTGAAGATGAAGCAGGTCAGTTAGCCCATCGTGACGAATTCAATAAGAATTGTTCACGATGGTTTCCAGGGGGAACCACGTGAAGGTCGACCTAATAGAGTTATTGCTAACAATAGGGGTGTCAATCTCCATTCCTAACAATCCCTATCCCCCCGTGCGAGCAGGGTTACCATTTCATTATCAACCATTAAAAAAACTACACAATTATGTTGTGTAGTAAAAATAATGTTTATATTTTAAATATTTGAACATAAACATTCTGTGGTCATTGACGATGTTCTAGTCATATATACGTACATCTACTTAAATATACCTACTCACATCCAAAAATATCTTTCTACTATCTTTAGTAATCGAATAACATTAAAGTTAAAATGAAAAATAGAAATAAGTATATTGCAATCGGTCTTATATTTTTTACTACGTCCGCTTGTGATTCGTACATGACTTGCGATTGAATTATCAAAAATAGAATTTTGTTTATATATAGAATGATAAAAAAATAATATACCTACATGTGCATATACTTACGTAAAGTCTGATAACACTTCATACAAAAAAGTACCTATTCTGGTTAAAATTGTGTATGTATCCATTAATTGTAAATAAAATATCAAAACCCGTTCGTCTCAGTTTTTCTTAACATTGAGTAACCGGTTCCAGTTTTTTTTTCTCTTTAGTCTCATGCAAATATAGGTACTTGGATTTAATTTAATTGCATTATAAAAATGTTTATCCATTTATATTGTTTATTTATTTCATATCTAGATAATATATTTGTTTTTTTTTTAATTGATGACAATGGAATGATGACCCCGCCTGCGCTAACGGTATACGCTAGCAGAGCATCAGTTAGGGATAGGTCAGAATGAAAAGGCAGGTTAGTTAGCCCATCGTGATGAATACGACTGGAATTCAGCACGATGGTTTCCAGGGGGATCACGTGGAGGTCTACCTGATAGAATATATTGCTGGCAATGGGATTGGTAGTCTACATTACTAATACTCCCGTCGCTTCGCCCGTCATTAGTCTAGAGGGTCAGCTGTACATGACTATCTTTCAGTTTTAAATGTAGAGTACTGCAAATAAAATTACAATTCTGTTACACAGTTTCCTCCCACGATCGCTCAAGTTATGTCGAGGATTCCTAGAGACTACAGCATGGGGTTCTTCAAAAAAGGGATAAAGAGGTTCAGGGTCGGCAACGCGCGCGTAATGCCTTGGTATTGCAGGCGTTCATAGGCTACGGTAACCGTTTACCATCAGATAGATCGTATGCTTTTTGCCACTTCAGTAATATAAAAAAAAGCCCTAGTAATCACAAATTATGATTGATATCCTTTTATCACAATCTATTCTGGGTAGGCATGGGTAATATGTAGACTGATCCGATGTATATATTGAGTTTCTTTGGACATTGATGGCGGAAAAATGTTATCACCCATTTTGATATCGTCCATATCGGTCGGATATCTTTTTTCAAATATGTTAAAAGTCTGTTATGTTATCCAATATTATTTTATTAATATTATTTTTAGAATAACAGACTTTGGAAATATTCGTTATTGGATCGGTATATATATTTTGAAACTAAAATATGTAGGTATTCCTACATATTATCCATCCCTAATTCTGGGGCATCCATGGTGCTGTTAATTTTTCAAAGAAACAATAACCGTAATTTATAGCAGCTGATGGAAGCAACAGTTTATTATTGTATAGAAATAAACCTTGAAAGTTGGTATACTAGGATTCTCTTGAAACAGTGTGTAATCATATCATAAATTCATTACTAAACCACAACTTAAGATACTCATATATTTTATAATAATAATAATTCTTTAATAAAGGAAACCAGGGCTCACAAAATTTTAACAATATTAATTTGCACCAACTATAAATTATTAAATCAAATTTTAAATTAATTACATTTTTTTTTACATTTATAAATAAATAACATTAACTTGACCTACTTTTTTTTTGTATGTTAGACAATATATGAATCATTTTGCAACGATTCAAATACTGGCAGTCTGGACGGTCAGCAAATACCATTAGGATAGCGTTAGAGCTGTCCCGGACCCTACGCATCAGAGATGTGCACCGCTTTCGCATAGTAGCGTAGAAACAATTAACATCCCCGACGCACTACAAAACCGGGACAGCCCCAACAGCACCCTAAACGCATTACTGCATTATTATACTGGACTCGTAGGGCGCTGTACTGTTTCTGAGTATAAAAAGCCCACAGAGTACTCGTGTATGGACGTGCAAAATGCTCTAAAAAAGAATGATTTTATGAATTTATTATTTATCTATCTATATAATCACTACACGTGGTCCGGAATTCCCTTATTGAATAATCAACGGCTATAGAAACAATTTTTCTTCGCTCAGTTGTATTCTCGACTTGGAAGTGGTTAATACCCGTGATTGCCACTTTTTATAACCATTTAATTTAACATTGTAACTGTGATACCTTAGTAAGCAAGTTCGCGGAACAATGAACAAGTAAAAACCTCAAGATGCTTGCTGCAGTGACTATTGTGACGGTATTTATTGGAAGTACAATCGCTTTTGGACTCGACGTATGCGATGTTAAGAACAGTGTGGACTTAAGTTCGGGCACTCGGATGTCTAATGGAGATATTCACTTCAATGGTATACAGTACGAAGAAAAAGATTACTACTTCGATAACATTACAGGAGTTGAAAGAGGTTGTATTTGCTCAAAGCAATTATGTATAAGAAAATGCTGTCCTCACGGTCAAGCATTTGATATTAATAAAAAAGTTTGTACGGACACTGCAGCTGCATTCGATCCTCCTATATGGAATAGTCATAAAGTACTCCAAGGCGTGAAGGCTGCTGAACTGTTTCATTATGTGTACGGAACCCCGATATGTGTGAATGATACAGTCAGGATCCGCGTCAAAAAAATAACAAATAATATTCACCTGAAAAACGTGAGTATTCAATTAACAGGTATACCCTCAATATGACTGTATTTGCTATCATTAGTTAGCTAATCTTACTTTTGAGATCTTAAATTAAATAAGTAAATAGTGATATCCTTCCTTACCCATGGATGTCGTAAGAGGCGACTAAGGGAGGGCGAGAGATGGGCAGTAGCATCCCTCTTTAAAAGAGCTTCAAAGTCTAACTGCGGTTGCTAACCACGCCTGTCAAGCATGGCGACTACTGACAACCCCCCCAAGGGGGAGGCTTATGTTCAGCAGTGGACAATTAAAGGCTGATATGATGATGATATCAATCGTACTGCCCACTGTTCAATAGGCCTCTCTTGGGGGGCGGGGGGAAAGGTTGCCACTGCCCATTCCTCTATCATTAAGCTCCCTTGGTCGTCTCTTACGACACCTACAGAAAAGAATGTGTTGGATGGGAGAGGGATAGTCTATACTATGCCGAGACCAAACGGCAATAGGTATATAATAATTTAAAATTATTCATTAAGAATTTATTATTAGATAAGTACTCATTATTGTCATTTGATTATTTTCAATGACGTTATTAATGTCTTGAAATATAAGTGTTACGTTTGATTCCATGTCAACAGGTTATCTAGGCCTGATGATAATAAAATTTTGTGCATACTGTTGATCCTGATAGAACATTTTTAATCCTTTATTTGAGTAATGGCACTCTTTAGAATGCTGTTTAATTATTCATCAGGGGAATACGTTTACGACATAAGCTTTGTATATTTAAATAAATCTACATATGTATTTGTAAAATTGTGTAATTGTACTAGGTATATATATTCTTGCCGTGTTTCCGGCTACACTTTTTATAATTGATTTCTTTTTATCCGTAGATTATTAGAAAAACATGTAGTCTTTTGTTTCCTTTTTGTGATTTTTAATAATTTTTGTTTCTGCTATTTTAATATATTTTTCTTGGAGGAAAAGTAAAGATAAATGTATCTATCTCAGTCTGTAATCTCAATCTTTATCTGAAGAAGCTCCTCAAATATTTTGCCATTATTTTTTTTTATCTTTCGAGGTAGAAGTAATTTTGTTTCCACAGTTGATCAATAGGAATGGTATATAATGCAAGTGCCCGTCTTATCAAAAGACAGAGTCATCCTTTGTTTTTATGTTTATCTTTTCCTCCATTCTTCGGAATGAGTAGACGACCTTTGTAATGCAGTAATGAGCATGTTGCTTTGTGTATATGAGATCTCGGATTCGATTCCCGGTCGGGCCAATTTAGGAAATAAACTTTACTGAATTGTCTCGGGTCTGTTGTAGTTTGCCTCTAGAGTTTGCTTCTAGATTTGCGTTGCCTGATTTCTCAAAATATATCTTATATTATATATCTTATTATAATATATTCTAATTTGGATATCAGACACTTGGTGTGATTGTGTGGTATTTATAATTATTCTTATAATAAAAATTCCCATAACATTTTAAATGAAACAATTTTATTGGTTCTCTTATTCATGAATTTCTTCAATTATGTACACGAAACAGTATACTCTGTTATGTTTATGGTACTGCTCATGCCTATGGGCGACGGATACCACTTTCTATCAAGTGGATCGTCAATTTGTTTGCCGTACTTTGTTGCATTAAAAAAAATCCTTTCTTTTGCATTAGAATATTTTATATGGCAGTGAATATTTTTTAAAGTGTAACCACAGAATAATCCTATGAAATTCAATACAAATAGGAAAAAAATATATTAAGGAAAACTGCGCAAAATATTCTATGATTGAATTAGATTGAATAATATTGTTTACCGTTTTAGACAAGTAGTTTGTCTAGTAGTAGGCACTTACCATATATCTAGATAAATATTTCTGAATACCGAAAAAAATATATTTACTTTTGTAATTATAATAAAATACCGTTATCGTTCCACCAACACTTTCAAGAAAGAATTTCATGAATTACATCTCTTTTATGCATCCCTTTTTATTTTAAAAAGTAAACTAACTCTTAAACTTGTATCTTTAAATTAACTTCCTTTTATTTCATCTTTGGTAGTTATTATATTAGTTGCTTTGGATTTGTTATTAAATTTCTTGCATGGTTCAATGGGACTTCATGAATAAAAACTCTATATTTAAAAAACTGTTATTGCCACTGTAAGATCTATTGTTATAAAACTGTAATGTATATTGTATTAATATTTTGTAAAGGACTGTTTATTGTCATAAATGAAAAAATAAAGAACCTACATAAAATATTCAAATGCTTCTGGTATCTTTTTTCCTGTGGGTTACAGGACAGGGTATGTTTTTAAGCCGACATAAGTCGAGAAGGTGAAAACCAAATGCTTCTGATATAATAAAACAATTGAAACAATAATAAACTGTGATATAATTAAAAATCTATATCATATTATGATAATACTAATGATATTATGATAATTATAATAATAACTGATGAAGATACTAATGTTCATAATACTGTTTTAAGCTCGAAAACAATATTTTTTATTTTACTGAAAATACTGAACAATGAAATGATTAATTGAACATGCTTGTAAACAAACAGCATGAAAGACAAAAGAATAGTTGAGATTAACGTATCTCTGCGTTAGAGCTTTTGTCACTGTGATTCATCTCAAGCATGCGATGTTCTGTGCCCACTTTAACAATTAGAAATTACAAAGTAAACGGCCAAGACACGAGGTAATTGGTTTTCTTAGTCATAAAAAATGACAATGCTTGATGGAGTATCATGGACGTCATAGTGAAGCCTCGTGAATAATGTGTCACAATACATGCGGGAATAAAACGTGTTTTACCACTAAACGAGAAATCTTCAGGCAATTTATTAGATCGCTGTTCGGTTAATGATATACATACTTATATATTAATTAGTCACAGTTCGTTCCATTATTTCGAAGTTTGGGTGCCGAATTGTTAACGTTAGGCTCCGAGCAGCGATCCAATAATTTGTCTGAAGATGTCTCGTTTGAAGGTGATGTACAATACGTGTCGCAAAATGTGCGTAAGTAAAATGGCAGTCGGAGATTGATAGCTAATATGGAAGGTTGTGGAAGTTCCGGTAGTAATAGTCGCAGACATAGCAATGGTAGCGAATTTAAATAAAATAATTTTAATCAAATAACCAGTGATATAGACTTGCGCAAGATAACATCCAGTTCAGTAAAATGTTTTCATCTCTCATATATCTATAACATGTACGTATACATTTCTAATAAAGAAAATGTGGGGATTTTGAACAATTCCATGAAATCATTAGGTATCGCTTTTTACGATACCTGCACCAATATTTTTGTTTGCATCTACACCCTATTGAAATAGACGAAAGCATTGGCAAATACAATATGTTCGAAGAATTTACGCTGTTTGTTGTGAGTTTGTATGTTTGAGAACAAAAGTTCCGGGTTCGGTGCACTCAGGTATTTGTTTTGTATATAGGATAAATATTGACTTTGAAATTTTTAGTCACGATTCTACAATCAGGATATCTTTTAAAAATATCATCTTTAAATAATAAAATTTAACAAATAAAAATCATGAATAAAACAATGTTTTTGGATTCGAAATAAATGACTAAAGAGAATCTAAGGTTTAAGGAAACTAGCGATCTGATCTATCATTGGGCGAGTTAAAATCTGTCTAAATAAACTAATTGTGTAGATAGATTGTGTCTCTCCCGTGATGCAAAACATCAATAAAAAACCAAATTAATGCAAATAACGCCGATAGGCTCGCTTCTTACTACGATGAATTTTAATATGTTCGTCAAAATGTGAGCATATCGAGTATTAGCACAATTGTAAACGCCTTTGTGAACCCAATCAGGGATTAAGATCGTTTTCCTTTTGGTATGTACATACACACATATATATATATATATATATATATATATATATATATATATATATATATATATTATTTTACCTTTTACTTCCCTTACAAAAAGGAACTGTTAAAAAAATATTTAAGAAATCGTTCGTTCATCCCTTTTATGCAGTTTTTTTTACGTGATTAAAGGAAAATATATTCAAGTATAAACTAACTGTAACAAAAGGTAATTTATTGTATAAAAAATGACCGTGGATATACAGTACTGTCTGCGACAAACAAATAATTAACATTATGCGAATGACCATCGCATAATTTTTGTGACAACACTCCCAAGGTCGTGATTGTATGATGTGCACGTGAAGTGGTTGGTGGACTTCTTGGAATATTTTCTAGATTATCAACAAGTGAGATTGTTAATATTAATTGAATAATACTTTTCAACTTCGCGGTGCATATATTTTGTGCCTAATATTTCAAACATATTTTATTACCATGATCATTAATTTTATTCGTTTATATCAATAATAATATAATATATGGCCGCCTATTGTTGCCTCTTTATCTTACTTTTATGTAATTAAGTTGTATGTAATTAATTATTCATATTGTTAATCTTTATAATCTGTATCAGTTTTTGAAGGGAACAATAAAGGATTTTCATTCATTCATCTAATATACATTTACATCAGGGCCGCTAGACAAGTGGCAAGCGAATCCATCGATAGAATAGTCATCGTAACATAAGCGAGACTATGAGTTGGAATGAGACATCGGGTGTTGTCATCTCACTCTATCTCATGAGCTCGTTAGTGATAACGATTCCATCGATAGATTCACTTGCCATATATCTAGAGGGACAGGTTGAGTAACGACATAGACGTAGAAAACTAAGTATCAAAGACGTTTATTTATAGTATAAATTTTATTACTTATTTCATGATTACACGGTTCTTAATTTGTTAATTTAAATTGTCCTAGGATGGAAGATTGTTCATCGAGCTGTCTAACTCAATACCGCCGTATACTCTGCGAGAACCCGACAAGTACTGCATCGATACGTTTGTCTCCGAAGATGTAAATGGGGTGAAAAAGTCCCAAGTCGATGCGCTGGTCTGTTTCGCCGACGAAGCTGGAGGGCATCATTATGCTTTGAGCAGCTCATGTAAGTACAGTAATTGGTTGTAGTTTTAGGTTATCATCGTCATTCAGTTCATTTCAATATCTGAAATACATCATTTCAGCTCTTGATAATACATGATGAACATAACTTCTATCGTTGATTGCTATAAGGGCGGTCCCGAGTCACCTACATTCTTTTACTTCCAGCATAAGGTCATAATTTCATCTAGTTCAGAATCGTTTCTCTGTTTATATATACGAGAGGTATACACTCAAGAGACCTTTTTGATCAACAGTTGTGGTTTTCTCGAGTTATGTGGTCAGTCAATTTCCAACAAATCCATCTCGATAGAGGAAAAGTCATAAATGGAAGACTCCTGAGGTTTCAAGACGCTGTAGTTTTTGGGTATTTTGTATTTATGTGTAGGTATTAAAAAAAGAACAATAAATGTTCCGTATTTTATTCGATAGAAACAAGTGACTTGGAGCCTTTCCTTATGGCAATCTCTGAATATGAGCCATATTCAGCCATAAGCAACAGAGAATCTCAGAATTGATTATGATAATGCATTCGACTGTAACCCAATGTTCAACCAATTTGAATTTTCTTTTGTACTCAGGTATGTTAATTTCCTGCGTGTTCATCCTGGCGACGGTGGGGGTCTACGCATGGTTACCGGAACTGCGCAACTTGCACGGCAGGGTGCTGATGGCATACCTCCTGTGCTTGTTTGTGGCGTTTGCATTTATGGCCACCATGCAGATTCTGCTGCCGTTGAAGATAATCACCAGACCTTATTGCATTGCAATGAGTAAGTACTTTTATTTCTCACAGTAAAGTGTGTAGGATTTTTTGTTCTCTTTTATTGAAGGTTGTTTCGATATTCGAAATATTCTATAGAATGTTTCTTTATTATTTTGCTTTTTAAATTGTTAAGCACACCTGTTGGAAAATAGTAAAGACGTTGAAAAGAATAAAAAAAAAAAAACTTATAGATACCAACATCACAGAATATATTCAAACCAAAACACAGCTTTTTTAATGGATGATAATGAAACAGTAGCCCCGCCTGCGCTGTCTGTGTACACTGGCGGGGTACCAGTGAGGAAAAAGTATAGCAATGGGGACTAACATCTCTATTATTAACAATCCTCCTATGTAAACCATATAATTGTTCCACGACATTCCTTTCGTTCATATTATTTAATTTGGTGGGGTCTTTTGATTGTTAAAATATGTCCTAAAATTGATTAAGGTACGATGGGACTGGCGTACCTAAAAGGACAGAAGTCCCTAAATAAATAAAGATAAAAAAAAAATTAACAATCCCTTGTTCCCTATTAAAACACAGTTATGTAAGTATAGTTGATTGGTGGCAGAAATACCAATAGTATAGAGGTATCCAAGTTTGTTAATTCCCATATTGCTTTATTATACATTGTTCTATATTAGATATTGTTTTACTCATACAAATATTATGTTACCAAAATATTTTTTATTCTTTTTCTGCTAAATTAAATATGATTACATACCCAATCCAGTTAAGTAATCGTGACTATACCACGCTGTACGATACGTGAATTAGTTTGTAAATTTAGCTATTTTTTCGTGGGTGTTATATTAATTGCCTCTTGTGGTTCGCAACTAATTTATTATGAACTTTGAACGCGATTTTTTTTTATGATTTACTGGTGTACCTAATTTGTGTAAGATTTTTATTAAACGCTATTTGGAAGAAGATAACGGGATCAATTCTGAGGCGTATACTATAAAGACCTATATGACACTATATTTTTAATAGCCTTTAATCAAATATATTGTAAACTTATTTTATAATAGCTCTTTAAATACTACCTACTTTTGCGACATTATTGAATTAAAATAATAGTTTTAGAAATAGGTTTTAAATCAGTTTCGAGTTTGATGTTTTCATTCGATAAACATAGATAATTAAATTAATTAATAATGTATTAATTAGTTTAATTATTTTTTGTCATTTTATATTCAGGCAATATAAAATGCAAATTATTATAGAAATATTATTAGAATATGAATATTATATCCAATCATTAATATGATTGAAAAAATACGTTCCTAATATTTATACATATATTTGTAATTATGTTATTTTTATATAACTTAATATTTATCAATATTTATGTATCCTATTACATTTCAGTTTATAGTATAGAAAAAAGTTTATAGTACAAAAAAGTCTGTTTTTAATATTTTTATACATCTATTACTTTGAAGCATAATAGTTATACAGTTTTGTTATACTTATAACTACGGTGACTAATATTTTGTTGAACAGTTTAAATCAAACAGTGTGATGGATCACAATACGTCACTGGTGACCTGATAATAAATGATGAATTAATATTCTTTGAAAAATATAAGTAATAGGTAATTTTAGTTATGTTGTACTGAGATATCTAATCACATGGGTGTAATAAAATGTGAGGTAATCGATAAGGTGTAATAACATGGGCATAATATATTTATACTAATATAATAAAACAGAAGAGTGTATTTATTTGTATGCGCCAATCTCTGAAATCACCAGTCGGGTTTGTAAAATTCTTTTTTGCATTCGATAGCTCATTTTTTGAGTTCATATATAAGGTGATAGGCAACTCATATTCGACATCATGATACGACCATACATATGTATTTTAAATATACGTAGTTTAAATAAATACATAAAAAATATATAATTCATTATTATATTATTTTATTTAAAAAATTCATCGAAGAAAATCACAAATACTTATATTAGTCGTAAAAAATTTATATAAGATACATGTGTAAATTCTATTGATAGTAAAACGAATAATCAAAATCGGTTCAGACTAGGAGAATTTATAGTTTAACATCCAAACAAAAAAAATGCAGGTGAATTAAGAATCTTCTTCATTTTGGAAATTCCTGTTTAATGACTACGCAACGTTGTGGTCATCTTAGGAAATACCACTGCAAAATCTATACATACGCAACTCGACATAGATCAAACCTGTTCTCGTGATGTCCGATGCGATATTACAATGTTTCTTGTAATCGTAAGTCAAAGATGTACCTTAATAATTGCTTTGTAATGTCTTTTTTTTATATATGAAAATTCCATGTTACGATATTTGTTTACGCTAATATAATTTCTAATAAATAACTGATTTTAACGTAATTTTGTAAGTGTGTATTGTTTGTTGAAATCTGATGTACAAGATAGTTGTTATTCCGATAAAAAAACATGGATGTGGTGAATTGTGGATACTACCGCAAAACAACGGTTGTCGAGTCGTATCAACTAGTAGGTTTCTATATTAATATTATGAAGAGGAAAGAATTTATATTTTTGTTTACTTTTATGAATTTATATTTTTGTTTACTTTTATGTTTAATTTGTTTAAAATATAAAAAAAAAATGCTTTTAAATCTAATTTTTTAATACTTATTTATCTTTCTATCTTGTAATGGATAAACTTAATATTTAAAAAAAAAGACAGTTATATTGATTTTCAAATTAAACTATTGAATCGGTTTAAATAAACATTCTATGGGACCAATCTATAACAAATATCCATTTGTTCAAAGTTACAAATTTTCGCATTTATTATTATTATGTATTGTAAAATATTGATTGTACATAATTTATATAGTATTATATAAGATAATTTACGGTGAGGTGTGAGTTAATGTGAATTGACAACATTATTATGAAAGTGTTGGTTGAGTAAATTGTTTAATAATATTTTACATTTTTTTTTAATTAATTTTACGTAATTATTATAATAAATACCATCGATTTTGATTGCATAATTTAACTAAATAATTCTCCTAGTAGCACAGAATAGAGTGAATAATTCGTTTTGCCAATATCTTACTGCACAATCGCATTTATTTGTTTACGTTATCTCTATAGATATCATATATATATTAATGCAAATAAATATAATTTTATATAGCCACTTTCCTTCCTTATTACTTGTTACCTGATTCATTTTGCACCAACTCCGCTGTTCATACAAGGAAGAAGATTCATTTAAATACTTAAATTTTTTTTTTTATGGAATGAAAATGAAATGGTAACCCGCTTGTAATTAGTATACTATGGGGTATTAGTGAAATATGATAGATGAAAATGAAGTAAGTTCAGTTGGCCCATCGTGATGTCATCTTTGAAAACCATCGTCAATAATTCTAGAGAGATCTCTCACAATAGGTCATAGGCAACTGACCTGCTTTCATCCTCACCTATCATCTTTCATTGGTACCCAGCCAGTGTACCAATAGTGCAGGCAGGGTTACCATTTCATTATCATCCATTAAAATGTCATTATACTTATATAAATATAAATTTAACACAGGTTATTATATTAACCTAAATAGGAGCCCAGTTCTAAAACCATAATTACTGTGCCCTTATAAAACTATAATATTAATATTAGTAACCTACAGTTATGTTTTTTACGAATTAATTTCATTTCATTTCATTTATATATATATAGTAGGCTATTTTATCCCGGCCAGTAAACATATTACGGTCATGCGGACGAACTCGCGAGTAAAAGCTAGTAGTATTATATTGTCTATGCCCCGGTCACGTAAACGAATTCGAGCCTAAAAACTAGTAACACATTGATGTAACATAACATAGGAGACACGTATTATTTATTATTTATATGTACAAATAAAGAGCGACCTTGAAATTTGTATACAATAGTTTCAACAATGTTCTTACTTTATACAACGTGTCAAAGTGTAAATAGTACATTTACAGCTTCCTGTTTTGAACAATAGGTGGACCAGTGACTCGAATTAATTACTGGGTTTTTTCTAATACCATTATAATTACCTCTTTATCCCGTACGTTCTTAAGTAATAAATACTATTTATTAAATAGACAGAGCACTTAGAGTAGACGGTGCTCAGGTATAAGATTCATAAAATAGGTAGGTAAGGGGGAGAGAAGGGATTGTTAATAATGGGGACTAGCAATCCCATTGCTAGCAATATACACTATCAGGTCGACCACCACGTGGTTCCCCCTGGAAACCATAGTGCAGGATTCTATATGTATTCATCACGATGGGCTAACTGACCTGTTTTTTTATTCTCACCTATCATTCTTCATTGGTGCCCCGCCAGTGTATACCGTTAACGCAGGCGGGGTTACCATTCCATTATCACCCATTAAAAAAATAGATAGGTGAGAGTATACGTATAATATTATCGTTATAATCACTTGATTTACTCTATCTACTTCATTAAAGTCGGGAGTATATTTAGGTATTTATTATTATTTTTTACTTAAAAATTACTTATTATAAAAATAAGTTGTTTAAATCAAAAGAAGCTGCGTTAGCCAAACATTCAACATATCCATTAAAATGTTTAGTCTTATAACACTTACCGAATAAAAATTGAAACTAACAGAAAAAAATCGAAAAATATATGTCAAAATTATTGTCGGACTGACTGAGACTGGAGTAAACCATTTTCAACAGATATCAAAAAGGAGGTTTGCAATTCGGTTGTACTGTTTTATGTTTATTACCTTGTTACGGGTGCAAACCCCTTCTAAACCATACTACAACATACCAATACATATTGCACAATAGCTGTTCCCACACACAAATTCTCAGAAAGAATGAAGACACACTTTACAAAGAAAATTGATAAAAGGGAATACGACAGAGCAGTGAGACGCTAGTATGTTTTAAGTCGCGAACGTACGGTGTATATTTTAGGAATCAATCACGATTCATAGATATAATTAATATTATATAATTACTAATTTTAAATAAAGATTCT